AACCAAGTAAAGATGTCTGGGTGCCAATATGGCGCCTGAGGTCTTCTCCATCTGGAGGCAGTGTTAGAAACTCAGATATATAAACTAGGTGCCAAATAGCTCCTTAAACCAAGGTTACAGTCACCGAAACAGAATCTCTAGTTGCCATTTGGGGGCAAGACGGCTCCAGTGTCTTATTTTTCAAAGGATGGACTGACTGGGATTGATTCTCAGTTAAACATCTGGCTAGTTCAGAGGACAACCTTGAGCCAGGTTAAGAGCTTTGAGAACTTCAAAAAGAACAGTCCCTTGATCCAGGGACAGCCCACATTATTGGCCTATTCTGATCTCTTTTTCTGAATGGTGACACGGACCATTCATAACGTAGGAATGTTCTTCACAACTGTGAGCAAGGCAGTGGGATGGGGTAAGTGAAGATAAGTGACAACAAATAGCTATAAAACTGCTCCTGCTCAGGCTGTACAGAAAAAGCATTTTGGTTCCTGAAATTCATTCTGATTGTGCAGTTAAAATAAAACTGATAGAATTCTACAGGATGGGGTATTGATGTATGAAAACGGTCTGGGTCCAATTATTCCCAGGCATGCACCTCCAGATGGTGGAGATGCTATCCTGGTGCCCAGGCATCTTCACTTGGCTGACAGCCAGCTGCAAAATGTGCCTGGCGCCTGGCTAATTTCGAACACTGTCTGGAGGTGCCTGCCTGGGGGATCCTTGGATCTTGACTGTTTTCACAAAGAATTCTACAGGATGGGGGAATTCTAGCTGCTGTGTTTTATCTGCAAAATCAGAATGAATTTCTGGAACCAAAAGTACTGGAAAATACGACTTTTGAGCCATCTGGCCCAAAAATGGCAACTAGGCATTCAGTTTTGGCAACTGTAACCCTGGTTTAAGGAGCCATTTGCTGCCCAGCTTGTATATCTTAGTTTCTAACACTGGGTGGGGCATTCCTGGTACAGTGGTACCTCAGGTTAAGTACTTAATTCGTTCCGGAGGTCCATACTTAACCTGAAACTGTTCTTAAGCTGAAGCACCACTTGAGCTAATGGGGCCTCCTGCTGCTGCCATGCCGCCGGAGCACGATTTCTGTTCTCATCCTGAAGCAAAGTTCTGAACCTGAAGCACTATTTCTGGGTTAGAGGCGTGTGTAACCTGAAGCGTATGTAACCTGAGATACCACTGTACTACAGAGCTGCCAAGGATTGTGTGTGGAACCTTCTGCCTGCACATCAAATGCTCCACTTCTAAGCTTGAGGACCTTTCTGTCTCAATATCTTGGATGGCGGTATCCTATATCCTTGCCCATAGGAGTCCAGCTCCTTTTGTGTTTTGAATACACTGTGAGATACCTCCTCCTTAAAGAGCAAAACCTTTCAACTCTGCTTATTCTTAGCACTTGTTACATTGTTCTATCTCGGAAATGGCTACAAAATATTTGGGCAGGTTCCCTTTTTTTGGCTTTGAAAACTGTCCTTGGACTTGGGTTTATTTGTCCAAGATAGCTGCGTGTATGCCATTTTCAAAATAAAATATCCTTTTTTGAAATGGATGTTCTCAAAACTTCTTAGTATAAGGCATTCTTTTTTATAATGTGGATACACGATGTTCAGCCAGCAACAAAATGGCGCATGCCAGGGGTGCATTGCAGCTGAGATTTCATAATCTTTAATGGCAAAGTTGGCTGGGGTGAGAATGTTGTTTTCTTTGTCTTGAATACACTCTGAATATAATGTCCAAAGGGGAATGCAGCAGTTTCTTAGACTCGGGCTCTCTCTTCCCTCCCCAACCCCTAATTTTCTTTCCAATTTGCTTGACTGCATTTGGAGTTGCTGAATTTCTTAAGACTTGAATGCAAGCCAAGGCCATCGCCGTAGGCACGAACCTATCTTGGATTCTAGCACAGTGGTTCTCTGGGCAGCTTGGTCCAAATTCATACACAGTACAATTCCAGGAAGGTTATTTTGCAAAAGTTCACTGAGTGCAACAATTGGGTGCCCAAACTTCTTCACTTGGTTCCAGGTGGCTGATAGCCGGGTGCAAAATACGCCAGGCGAATTTTGAACGCTGCTTAAAACTTGCTATAAAGAGACATGAAAAAGGAATGGTGTACATGTTCTGTTTTAAATGATGTAAAGTTGGGCAAGGGCTTAAGTTACTGAAAACAGTTTAAACCGGACTGAATTTTGGTATATCCAAAGAGCTGTGCATTCCTTATACTCTTCCAAAGGGGTAGTGAACTAGGGTGCAGAGTGTATCTGCAACTTTGAAACGGCCCTGTTTGATAGCTAGTTGTATTTTTGGTCACGCTACCAGTTGTGCGGGTTTTTCTTCCAGCTGTAGAAAAGTTTCCATGGATGAACGCAGTGAAAACATTCCAACTCCCAGTGCATGGCTTGTGGACCGCATTGTACAGCAGGGCAATTCAGCCCCGTCAGTAGATCTTCGTTCTTAATTCCACCCCTGTATATGTTGTTGTTTCCAGCCTGCCTTGATTTGGGTTGCAACCCCATCGTGGGTCTTGGCTGAAGACTCAAAGCCTTGCACTCACCCACTCCTCCTCCTCCTGTTGTGCTGCACTACTAACCAGTGTTAGAAACTGGGATAGAAAAGCTAGGAGCCCTAAGGCTCCTGGAACCTGAGTTGTGGGTGCCGTCACCATTTTGGGAGACATTCGGCAACACTTTTTATTACCTTGATAAGCATGAAGTAATACACAGTTCACATAAAGCGATACATTGTTAATATCACATTTTTCAGAGAAATTGTTTAATTGGGTGTTGACAATAAAAATATGGGCGCCATACTTCAGTTTTCAAAACACACTACTCTTTATTGATAAACTCCTTAACGTATTGCCTATCCATATACTCGGGAGCTTCAAAGCACATACATTTCAGTCATCCTGGAGGGTCCAAAAATGGCACCCAGACTTTTTGAGGTGCTCGCAAATGGAGAATCTTTAGGCGCAAAATGCACCTGGCGCCCTGTTAATTTCGAACCCTGCTACTAACCCAGCACCAGGTGAAGGGAGAGTTTCAGAGAGCATGGGATTCACCCCTCAGCTTCCCTTGCTTAAATGTGCCAATCTTGGCTACTAGCCGAGTTCACCGGACTCATGGCTGGAGGCATGGGCTGCGTTGACATGCCACGTTCCCCTCCATTAGTTGTGCTACTTTTTGGCTAGTAGCAATTCCAGGAAGATGAAATTATTCAGGCCTCGCTGACGGCGGGGAAATGGTTTTGGAGCTGTCCACCAAGGTAATGGAAATGGATATTGACATAAGATACATTCAAAGAAGCATGCCAACTTCAAAGTGCATGCACTTAGGTAGGCCCTGGGGAATGCAACTCAAAACCTTCCAGTAAGTTCTCAAAATCTAACTTGAAAGCTGCATTCCCTGGGCAAAGGTTGGGGAGATGCGGAAGGCTGCACTCAAAGGCTGAGTTCAGTGTCTTTTCTTACAGCTTGTTCTGCAGAGAGATCTTTGCACCCAGTGTTAGAAACTCAGGTATACAACCTAGGCGCCAAATGGCTCCTTAAACCCAAGGTCACAGTCGCCAAAACGGAATGCCTAGTCGCCATTTTGGGACAAGGCGGCTCGAAAGTCTTATTTTTCAAATGGTGGACTGGCTATCAGTTAAGCATCTGGCCAGTTCAGAGGACGACCTTGAGCTAGGTTAAGAACTTGGAGACCTTGAAGAAAAGTCCCTTGATCTGGGGACAGTCCCCATATCTATTGGCCTCTTCCGACCTCTTTCTTAATGGTAACACGTTGATGTTGTTGTTGTTTAGTCATTTAGTCGTGTCCGACTCTTCGTGACCCCATGGACCAGAGCACGCCAGGCACTCCTGTCTTCCACTGCCTCCCACAGTTTGGGCAAACTCATGATAGTAGCTTCGAGAACACTGTCCAACCATCTCGTCCTCTGTCGTCCCCTTTTTCTTGTGCCCTCCATCTTTCCCAACATCAGGGTCTTTTCCAGGGAGTCTTCTCTTCTCATGAGGTGGCCAAAGTATTGGAGCCTCAACTTCACGATCTGTCCTTCCAGTGAGCACTCAGGGCTGATTTCCTTCAGAATGGATAGGTTTGATCTTCTTGCAGCCCATGGGACTCAAGAGTCTCCTCCAGCACCATAATTCAAAAGCATCAATTCTTCGGCGATCAGCCTTCTTTATGGTCCAGCTCTCACTTCCATACATCACTACTGGGAAAACCATAGCTTTAACTATACGGACCTTTGTCGGCAAGGTGATGTCTCTGCTTTTTAAGATGCGAGAATATTCTTCACAACTGTGAGGAGGGCAATGGCAAGTGAAGCCAAGCAACAACCATTAAATATAATGTTTACTTCTCCTGCACAGAAACAGCTTTTCGGTTCCAGAAATTCTGAAACCTGGAAAACCTGAACAGCCACTGCCATTCAGTGAGAAATATACTGGATGGAGCTCTGATCTGGCTTGGTGTAAGGCTGTACATCCCTAAGGATGTAAACAACCACTTGGTTATGGCCTGTAAGGACGGCCTCCCAGGGCACCTGTGGGCTTAGTAACTTCCATGGATTGCAAAGCTCAGAACAAATTGGTGTGGTTAAAAGTTGGCACAAAGTGTTCTCAAGCGGCAACTGCGTGGTGCATGGGTTTGCAATGCTTGCCTGCTCTCAATAGATGTGCTTCCTGCTGCCTTAGCTTTTAGCTGGTATTCCATCCTGTTGCTCTTTCAATTGGGCTCTGGGGGGATCTGAACGCAGACCACCCCTCCGGAAGGCACTTTCCAAAAGGCGGAATAGAAACGAGTCTTCTGCGTGCCTTTGTTTATTTGCTTTTCGCAGGGGTGGGGGCAGGTATGGACCTTGGCACGGGCTGTTTCAGTTTTGGATTCGGCCTTTGAAAAAGTGCTTCATAAACAGAGTTGCGTCTTTTTGTGTAGAAGGGGCGCCTGAATTAATTGAAACTGCTCCTATAAACTGGTTTCTCTCTCTTCTCTCTCCCTGCCCAGACGGAATTTCAGGCAGAATTGACAAATGCTGGTGGAAAGCTCATAGTCGTCGACTTCTCTGCCACATGGTGCGGACCATGCAAAATGATCAAGCCGTTCTTCCACGTAAGTAAGCTGCTCTGAGTCTACGGGGTGGATAAAAATCAATGAACTTTAAAAAAAAAATTAAATCAGATTTAAAAAAAAATTAAATCAGATTTTTAAAATAAAATGCTTTTGGAGCAAAAATCTTTCTAAAGATAGCTTTCTATTTAAGTTACATTATAGTCCATTATAGTCCAAAGGCTGTTCATCAGGAAATAAGGATTTGTTAAGTTTTTCATGTGTGCTAAAGGGTGGCACTGTTGGTAAAAGCCTCAGCGCCTAGGGCTTGCTGATCGAAAGGTTGGTGGTTCGAATCCCCGCAGCGGGGTCCGCTTCCGTTGTTCAGTCCCAGCGCCTGCCAACCTAGCAGTTCGAAAGCACTCCCGGGTGCAAGTAGATAAATAGGGACCGCTTACCAGCGGGAAGGTAAACGGCATTTCCGTGTGCGGCTCTGGCTCGCCAGAGCAGCGATGTCACGCTGGCCACGTGACCCGGAAGTGTCTCCGGACAGCGCTGGCCCCCGGCCTCTTGAGTGAGATGGGCACACAACCCTAGAGTCTGTCAAGACTGGCCCGTACGGGCAGGGGTACCTTTACCTTTACCTAAAACTCAAAAATAAAATAAAATCTTTAAATCAAGTCTTCCTGACTAGTGATTTAAATCGTGATTTAAATCGATTTAATTTAAATCAAATCCACCCTGAATGTCTAGTTGTCATTTTTGGGCAAGAGGGCTCTAAAGTTTTACTTTTCAAATGGTGGACTTACTATCATTTAAACATCTGGCTAGTTCAGATGTGACAAGCTTGAGGCAGGTTAAGAGCTTAGGGAACCTGGAGAAAAGTCCCTTGCTCCAGGGACCGTCCCCATATCTATTGGCCTGTTCCTACCTCTTTTTCTTAATGGTGACATGAACCATTCATAATGTAGGAATATTCTTCACAACTGTGAGCACTGCAGTGGGACAGGGTAGGTGGAGACAAGTGACAACAGTGAGCTATCACATCGTTCACTGCTCCTTCTCAGGCTGCACAGAAAAAGAATTTTGCTTCCAGAAATTCATTCCGGTTCTGCAGATAAAATATAACTGATAGAATTTTACAGGAAGGGGTATGAGTGTGTTAAAAGATCCCCAGAATGTGGAGATGTCACATGCCATCATGGTGCCCAGGCATCTTCAGTGGCCCTGGTGCCTGGCTAATTTCGAACCCAGAATAGTGCTCCTATACATTTTTAAGATGGGACACTTTAATTTCCTCCCTGCCGTCCCAGCACAACAGGAGATGAGACCATTTCGTCGTATTCTTCCCCTTGGTAGTTGCCAATCACTTCCTTTTTGCCTGCAGAACTTGTGGGAGAAACTATGGTTGCCTTGCTCATGAGCTTGTGTGGATGGGGGATACTTGCAAATTGACATTGGTCCTGCTCAACAACCTCAAACATTGAGAGGGTGGACGCTTGGATTGTCCCCTCGGCTTCCTTTCGGCTTTCCCGTAGCCCATGAACCCTGAGGAGGAGAGAGCAGAGCAATAGAGGTTGTGCCTACTGATTCAGCTGCTTGCCCTAGCTGCCAGGGAACGAGAATGACCCATGGCCAAAGTGGAAGGCTCCCAAAGATGAACCTTGCCCAGCCTCCTGATGGATCCTCTACCCAACATGTCAACTCCTTTTATGCTCAGATTGACCCCATCATCTCTGCCACTTGCTTGGGGATGGCTAACGGGGGCTTCCATGTACGAGAGAGTAGATAACTCAATCCTGGAAGGGAAGCTATAGGGAACCAGGCAGAGGGTCTTCTCGGTAGTGGCGCCCTCCCTGTAGAATGCCCTACTGTCAGATGGCAAGGAGATGAAGAAGACAACTTTTAGAAGACATCTGAAGGCAGCCCTGTTTCAGGAAGGTTTTTAATGTTTGACATTTTATGTTTTTATATGTGCTGGAAGCTGCCCAGGGTGGTTGGGGCAACCCAACCAGCAGGGCAAGGTTTCTTCTTCTTCCTCCTCCTCTTCTTAGCAATGGTATCTCTAGTATAACCCTCTCTCCTTTCTTTACCCAACAGAGTCTTCTCGAAAAGTATCCGGATGTAGTGTTTATTGAAATCGACGTGGATGATGCTCAGGTAAATTCTAGAGTGTGGCTGTCAAACTAGAAGTGTGTGTGTGTGTGTGTGAGAGAGAGAGAGAGAGAGAGAGAGAGAGAGAGAGAGAGAGAGAGAAGAGAAAGAAAGAAGAGAAAGAGAAAGCTGTAGCTATGTATTTTAAGGACTTGTCTCTTGGGGAAACTCTCGCACGTTGCAGAGGGTTCTGGACAATGTCCTCCGAGGGGGCAGAGTGGCACTCAGACTTCGTTGCCAAGTATTCAGCTTGGGACCAGGACCACCTGAAGCATGGTCTCACCCCTTTTAGACCAACTGGATCACTGCGATCTGCGGAAGGGTCCTCTTGCAGATGCCCATCTTATCAGGAGGTCTGTTCTGCGCAACACAGGGATCAGCCTTTAGTGCTCTGACACCCAAACTTCAGAATTCCCTCTCCTTGAACATTCAACGGGCTCTGCCTCTGTTGTCTTTTCGGCGCCTGCGGAAGACCTTCCTCTGTCAACAAGTTGTTTCAGTTGTGGCCTTTCCCTGGTCTGTGTTGGGAATGCTTTTAGGATGTATCATTGTTTAGTCACATGTTGTTTGCCACCCTGGTCTCCTTTGGGAGAAGGGGTGTAATATATGTTTAACAAACAACCCCAGGCTTCCCCAGAACAAACTGAAAACAGCTTCATGCTATCGCAATCCCAGAAATAAGGATGGAACTATGTAAAGGTGAACCTGGGCTTTTAAAACTGCTTGAAATGCAGAATTTCTCTTGCCAAGGAGCCCTGGGAATTTGTAGTTTGGCCAGTGCTGACCATTCCATTCTCAAGCCTTGGCTTCACAGAACTAAACTTATCCGGCAAGAGGGAATTTACTGTTTAAACTGGCTTCACTACGTGGTGTGGTAGATAGGGTGTGATATTTTGCAATTCTCAGCATTTACCCAGCTGCAATTTACAAAATTATTTTTTTGGGGTGGTGGGGTGGATATTAAAATGGTATAGAAATTTAGAATACATATTGGCTATTCCTCCATTAGCCCTAAGGGTAGACGAGCATGACATTGTGCAATTGGAACATTGCTGTTCCATAGTTTTTATTCCCCTATGGCTAAGAGAAATGTAAATGGGCGACTTGTGCATAATATGGTTTGCCTTGGTGCAGGCAAAACTTAAGGTCCACAAATGGCAACATTTTGGAGGTCCCAGGTCGCAAGGTGGTTAGATTGGTCGCAACTAGGGCCAGGGCCTTTTCAGTACTGGCCCTGACTTGGTGGAATGCTCTGTCACAAGAGACTAGGGCCCTGCGGGACTTGGCATCTTTCTGCAGGGCCTGCAAGACAGAGCTGTTCCGCCTGGCCTTTGGTTTGGACTCCGTCTGACCTTTATGTTTCCCTCCCCTTATGGTTTTGATCTATGGGCTACTTTTAAAATGAGGCTGCATTTTAGATTGCATTTTAACCTGTATTTTAAATTGGTCCCCCCCCCCCCCATTATGAGTTTGCTGTAATTTTACTGGTGTTAGCCGCCCTGAGCCTGGCTCTGGCCAAGGAGGGTGGGGTATAAATATTTATTATTAGTAGTAGTAGTAGTATTATTAGTATTAGTATTATTATTAAATGAGCTGCAGCTTCTTCCTTGCCTTGTGGAAAATATCCCTGTTGCATCTTATTCTTCTCCTTCCCTCCCTCTCCTCTCCCCCTCCCCCTCGAATCTTTATAAGTGGTTCAGCTTCTTTTCAGGTTTTCCTTATCTTGGGTACCAACTCATGTGGTCAACCTAATACAGATAACCTCTTTCATCTCCTCTAGGATGTTGCCGCTCACTGTGACGTCAAGTGCATGCCAACATTCCAGTTCTACAAGAACAATCAAAAGGTACGTGTAGTCCCACATTTCCGGCAAAACATCTTGGGGGTGGGGGCCGTGGGACGCCACCTCCAGAATTATTATTTTTGGGTGGGGAAGGGAGGCACTATATTCAGTTGTTGGGGGTCTTGTGAGGCATCCCTCTTGGCTCAACCTAACTGGATTTCTGCCCTCCCTACCCAACACTCCGTACAAGGTTGTATATACAGTGGTGCTTTGCTTCTCAAACTTAATCCGTTCCGGAAGTCCGTTCGACTCCCGAAACGTTTCGAAAACAAAGACGCAGCTTCCGATTGGCTACAGGAGCTCCCTGCACGCAGTCGGGAAGCTGCGGAAGCCGTGTTGGCTGTTTGGCTTCCGAAAAGTGCTCACAAACCGGAACACTCGCTTCCGGGTTTGCGGCATTTGGGAGCCGATTTCTTTGGGAGCCAAGCTGTTCGGGAAACAAGGTACCACTGTATACAGTGACACACACCTGGTGGCAAAGGGATGATGATGATAATAAAAATAAAAAATAAAATAAATTTATTATTTATACCCCGCCCATCTGGCTGGGCTTCCCCAGCCACTCTGGGCGGCTTCCAAAAAAATATTAAAATACTATAATACATCAAACATTAAAAGCTTCCCTGAACAGGGCTGCCTTCAGATGTCTTCTAAAAGTCTGGTAGTTGTCGTTCTCTTTGACATCTGGTGGGAGGGCGTTCCACAGGCAAGGTGCCACTACCAAGAAGGCCCTCTGCCTGGTTCCCTGTAACTTGGCTTCTCACAGTGAGGGAACTACCAGAAGGCCCTCAGTGCTGGACCTCAGTATCCGGGTAGAACGATGGGGGTGGGGACGCTCCTTCAGATATACTGGACAAAGGCCGTTTAGGGCTTTAAAGGTCAGCACCAACACTTTGAATTGTGCTCGGAAATGTACTGGGAGCCAATGTAGGTCTTTCAAGGCCACGTTCTGGATTAGTTGTAGTTTCCGGGTCACCTTCAAAGGTAGCCCCACGTAGAGTGCATTGCAGTAATCCAAGCGGGAGATAACCAGAGCATGCACCACTCTGGCAAGGCAGTCCGCAGGCAGATAGGGTCTCAGCCTGCGTACCAGATGGAGCTGGTAAACAGCTGCCCTGGACACAGAATTAACCTGTGCCTCCATGGACAGCTGTGAGTCCAAAATGACTCCCAGGCTGCGCACCTGGTCCTTCAGGGGCACAATTACCCCATTCAGGACCAGGGAATGCCTGTTGAGTCTACCTCTGAGGCTTCAGGCGCCAGATTTCATCATGTGCATCGCTTGTTAGGTTATGGGTAGCAGTGGCTGTGGCCGGGGGAATACTGCAATTCTCTGGCAGTATTCAAAATTAGCCAGGCCCGTTTTGTGACTGGCGGGGGGTCCAATTTCTGCCACGTGGAGATCTCTGGGTGCCAAGCTGGCAACAGACAACTCCATCTGGCTGGTCTCTCCAGCTTTCTTGAGCAGGTAAGTAGGTAAAGGTAAAGGTACCCCTGCCCATACGGGCCAGTCTTGACAGACTCTAGGGTTGTGCGCCCATCTCACTCTATAGGCCGGGGGCCAGCGCTGTCCGCAGACACTTCCGGGTCACGTGGCCAGCGTGACAAGCTGCATCTGGCGAGCCAGCGCAGCACACGGAACGCCGTTTACCTTCCCGCTACTAAGCGGTCCCTATTTATCTACTTGCACCCAGGGGTGCTTTCGAACTGCTAGGTTGGCAGGCGCTGGGACCGAACGACGGGAGCGCACCCCGCCGCGGGGATTCGAACCGCCGACCTTTCGATCGGCAAGTCCTAGAAAAGCTTATTTATTGCGTTTATAGCCCCCTCCTCAGTTAATCCCTGCAACGACCCCGTGTGGTGGGTTAAGAGGCTGCGACTAGCTCCAAGGTCACGCAGCGAGCTTCAGGACGGAATGGAGATTTGAACCCTGGTCCCCCAGGTCCTGGTCTGACACTCTAACCACTAAACCACACTGCCTCCCTAGAGTACTTCTGCTCTGGGGCAGCTTTATAAATTAAGCAGATAAATAAATAAATAGGGGGGAAGCAAAATGTTCCTTAGCGAACGATCTGAAATATTTTCCTTGAAGCTTGAATTTGTTTTATTCCAGGTTGTTTTATTTGATGTTTTGATGATTTTCCCTTTAAAATATAAAGCAGCGTAGAAATGAGGAATAATGATAAAATCTTGCTGATTAAAAGGAACATTTGTTTGTGGTGATGGAACCTTGGTTTAAGGTGCCATATATATATGTGTGTGGGATGTTATTAGGGTTTATAGAGAAAAGTACAAAACTTCCTCTTTTTTTGTCCAAACTGAAACTTATCTAAATGCAATAAAAACAAAGAGGAGGAGGAGAAAGGAGTAAAGAAAAATATTTAATTAAAAAAAAAGATTAAGAGGGAGAAAATAAAATTCAGAAGGGACTTCCGATTCTTCTGTCTGCTATGTGTAAACAACATTCACTTCTTCTACTCCAATAGAACACCCAACAATTAGCCTTATATGTTTGAGTTTCTAACACTGCACAAGTAATAACAAAAGTGGAATTCTGAGGTTAGGATGAATGACAGAGAGAGAGGCTGGAAACTGAGAATGAAGCTGCTAAGAAACCTGTGTCTGGTGACTTCCGTCTGGAACGGGAGAAAATTACAATCGTCTTGACATGAAAAGCACGCATCTTTTGAGCGCCCATAAACTATAAGTGTTAGCAAGTGTGCATTTCTGTGTGACTTTGAATGCTCTCAATTTGTCTGCTTTTGTTACTTCAAAAGTGATGGTTTGAAAGAAAGGCCTGAACTTGGAATTCCTGTATTTCAGGTGCATGAATTCTCTGGAGCGAACAAAGAGAAGCTGGAAGAAACCATCAAGAATCTAAAGTAACCTAACCCACAGATTCCTAAATCATAAAAAAAGTGCTGACTGTTAAATTATAGCCTTTTCTACATAATGAACTGATCAAGTTAGATCATGTATCCAAATACACTTTTGACTCGTTGGCCTGTAAATGAGAAGAATAAAAATGTATAAAACGGGTGTCGCTGCATGAATCTTGTGGCTTCGCTGTTAAAAAACACAATACAACAAGCCTCAGCTATGTATTCCTTTATTACAGCTGTCAGTAAGAAAGTAAGCAAATTTAGAAGAAAGCAGAGTTTAAAACTTAAGGAAAACAACCTTGTCGGGGGTTAGTTTTACATTGAGCTGAATGCATGGCGCCAAAATATTTATGGGTATGTTTAACGGGTGGTAGCAAAAAAAATTTTTTAAGGGCTCAAAACAATTGTAAGCTGCCCTGAACCAAGACCCCTTTCCTTAGGGTATGGACATGTAATCAATATGTTGGTTTACCTAAATCATTTTTATTTCAAAATACCCACACATTAAAAGAATAGCATTTTTATGCAGTGAAGGGTAGAAATCCAGCATTAATTTTGTAACTTCCACTATGGATTGGAAGGAGGGTGTTTTTGAGCATCCTTATGGGGGCAATAAAATCTCCCCCCCCCCCCCCCGCTCATACCAGATGTTTTCCAGAAGAAAAATGGTTGCAGGCTTGTAAGGTAATAAAAGAGGACAGAGGATTCTACACATGCCTCTACCACTCCTTAAAATTGGACATCCTACTTACTACAAATCTTTCCCAACACCTAACCCTTGGAGTACACGGGCTCAGGCTTTCAGCATATTCGTGTTACGCAAGCAACAGGAGCAAACTGGCATGTTTATGAATGAGATTTTGGCAGTTAAAAGAGGGAGTAGTCATTTATTGTGCTGAATTTCTTGCCAGAGTAAGCCACGTGCACGTCAGACTTTTAGGACCGCCTTCCCGGTGTTTTCTCCTTTGAGCATTCCCATGAATGCTGCCGGCATGTTTTCAAAGCCCTGGGTGATGTGTTCTTGGCACTTAATTTTCCCCTGTACAAAACAAAAAAATGGGTTTTAGATTTCAGTTTGTTTCTAAACAATCCATGAAAAAGTTTCCACTTTAATTTACTGTATCAGGGTGGGGGCACTGAGCCAGGTTAATAATAATAATAATATTTATACCCCGCCCATCTGGCTGGGTTTCCCCAGCCACTCTGGGCGGCTCCCAACAGAACAAAACTTCAAAAAGGTTTTTTCTTCTTCTAAAAGTCAGATAGTTGTTTACTTCCTTGTCATCTGATGGACGGGCCACCACCGAGAAGGCCCTCTACCTGTTTCCCTGTAACCTGCCTTCTCGCAGTGAGGAAACCACCAGAAGGCCCTCGGAGTGTCTGGGCAGAACGATGGGGGTGGAGACGCTCCTTCAGGTATACAAATGCCCAGCTGCCCCACTTTTCACCTGGGGTAGCACAGACACTCCCAACCCTCACTCTCATTCAGGGGAGGGGTTCTTTTATCTCCAACTGTTATAGGCTCTTACCGCTCATGGCAGCCAAAAAACTTACTTCCCTTCCCCACCAAAAAATTATATTTCAGTCCGGTATGGGGTGATGGCACCTTGGTTCTCATGGTGACCCCTGAATTAGGCTGAAGCCCAGAGGGAAACCCCTCTTTGGGGTCGACCTTCCATGTTTTCCCAGTTTGACTTTAAGTTGTTTTACAGCAGGAATGTACAGTGGTACCTCGGGTTACATACACTTCAGGTTACACACTCCGCTAACCCAGAAATAGTGCTTCAGGTTAAGAACTTTGCTTCAGGATGAGAACAGAAATCGGGCTCCGGCAGCGCGGCGGCATCAGCAGGCCCCATTAGGTAAAGTGGTGCTTCAGGTTAAGAACAGTTTCAGGTTAAGAACGGACCTCCGGAACAAATTAAGTACTTAACCTGAGGTACTACTGTATACACTTCTAGGTTTGCCATGACCGTAACCCGAAGATCCCGTATGTAGAGGGATCTGAGAGAGATTCGCTGTCCCAAGAGTTTCAAAAATTACGAAACCTCTATCACCATATGGACTTCAAACTGGTTTCAGATGATATACCGCCCAGCCCTAACGCACATCATGATTCATGATATATTGCCAGGTCATAAATTATGAGACCAATATCACAATACGGACTTGGGTCAAGCTTCACAATTCTAAGGTCCAAAGAAAACACAGAACAAACTTACCTCTGCGACCCATTTCAACAGTGCCGTCATACCTTCCTCTCTCCTGTCCGCCCAGCGCTGGACGACGAACCCTTCCATGCGCAGCTCTTTTAGGATCATCATAAGCTGCATATAAGGTCCTGGAAGAGACATGAGGAAAAAGGGTTAGTGAAATTTGCATACTACAGGCAGTTTGCACCAGCTTTAACTTCATGTTAGAATTGCACAGTTGGAAGGGACATCGGACATCATTTATTCCAACCCCCCAAACTCAGCGCAGGGTGCAAATACTAGTCATGGCTCAGTGGCGGAGTTATCTTGCGGGGTCAATGCCTGGCGTCTCCAGGTAAAGGTAAAGGGACCCCTAACCTTTAGGTCCAGTCGTGGCCGACTCTGGGGTTGCAGTGCTCCTCTCGCTTTATTGGCCGAGGGAGCCGGCGTACAGCTTCCAGGTCATGTGGCCAGCATGACTAAGCCGCTTCTGGCGAACCAGAGCAGCACACGGAAACGCCGTTTACCTTCCTGCCAGAGCGGTACCTATTTATCTACTTGCACTTTGACGTGCTTTCGAACTGCTAGGTTGGCAGGAGAAGGGACCGAGCAACGGGAGCTCACCCCGTGGCGAGGATTCGAACCACCGACCTTCTGATTGGCAAGTCCTAGACTCTGCGGTTTAACCCACAGTGCCACCCTTGTCCCTTGGCATCTCCAGGTAGGACTGGCAATTTTCCCTGCCTGAAACTTCAGAGCCACAACCGGTCAGGGTTGACAATACTGAGCACGACAGGCTAATGGTTTGACTTGGTGCAAGGAGACTTCCTACATTCCTGTAGTTTTCATGGCAAGCTTCTATCACTGCCTGGGAGACCAAGGCAGCGTGCAAGCTAATTTCTCTTCAAAAAAAGGAAATCAAGCGTATTTTTCAATACGAACAAGTGTCTTCCCCCCATCTTTTTGCAAATCCAGTTGAGCAAATATTTCAGCTGCACAGTCAATGCAGGCTTTTCCTAGCTGATAACTTGTGTCCCCCCCCCCCATTCTTTCCCTTCATAATCCAGAGCTGCTTCTGCACTAGGGGTTTAAGATAGAATGGCCGTGCTTGGTCCCTCTCACTTCTTTCTTTTTTCATCACCAAATTGCTTTCCTCCTCCCTGTTTTCCCTGTGCTTCTTCCTGTCTGCTGGAGGAAAAGTTGGGGAAAGGAACCTGATGGAGCAGAAGGTCAGGCAACTCAGTCACCTGGGAACTGCCAAGAGGAAAGACACCATCTTTGACCAAAGCCCAGTTAACTATTGTTCCACAACTTCCCATTCCAGCAGAGATCGCAGGGCTTTCACATAATCCTGTTGCACAGCTCCCCCTAACAGTCAAAATAAGCTCAGAGCAGAACTGCTGTTTTTTAAAATAAATTTTAAAAAGCCCACAAAAAACTGTGCTCTTCACTTTGTCATTCTTACCAACAGCCCTGTGAGGTAGGCGACATTGAAGCACTGCCTCTTGCTTAATTCTGCCCAAACTGTACAGCTAGGTAAAGGTAAAGGGACCCCTGACCATTAGGTCCAGTCGTGACCGACTCTGGGGTTGTGGCGCTCATCTCGTTTTATTGGCCAAGGGAGCCGGCATACAGCTTCCGGGTCATGTGGCCGGCATGACTAAGCTGCTTCTGGCAAAACCAGAGCAGCGCACGGAAATGCCTTTTACCTTCCCGCTGGAGCGGTACCTATTTATCTACTTGCACTTTGACGTGCTTTCGAACTGCTAGGTTGGCAGGAGCTGGGACCGAGCAACGGGAGCTTACCCCGTCACGGGGATTCGAACCGCTAACCTTCTGATCCGCAAGTCCTAGACTCTGTGGTTTAACCCACAGCGATTTTTAACCGAGGTTTCTAGGCCCGATGCTCTTTTTCATTACATCCCAGCGGCTGAAAGGAGTAACCGTGGATGCCAATCGCAAACCAGTGATTAGCAAATTTCGCTACCGCTTCCAAGTGCTTTGCAAGAGGAATGGTGAGCTGACTTGTACCAACGGTCCCAATGACTTCAGAAGACTAGGAGTGTTTGGAAACTGCGGCAGGGAAGAGGGGGGAGCCAGTTAACTCAACTAGAAGCCAACTAGAAGCCCGAGTTTCAATTGCTCAACTGTGCTGCTACGATAAGGGGGAATGCTGAAATTATTTTCAAAGCAGCAGCAAGTGGTTTCTTTTTTTATATATATAAATTTTTATTAATTTTTCAACTTACCATTTTCAACAGTAATTAAACATACTTTCATTTCTTACACCAATTTTTTTTTACTTCCACCAATCACATCTGACAATTTCCCCATCTAATCACTTAATATACATTTCTTACTTCTGCTATTACATTTAACTCTCAAAACTAGCATCTCTCTTCTTTCTCCTCTTTGCAATATTTCATATATTTCTCCTTACAAAACGTCTAGTCCTGCTAGCGTAATTTGTTGATTACAGTAGCAGCAAGTGGTTTCTAGCTCACTACGGACCTCTTGTGGTGTCAAACTATTCTGCTCCTCAAATAGGTATTTCAGAAATGTTGCCCGTATGGCCTTATCAAGCTACACTGAATGCTGATATACAAAGGATCCCTGAAAAGATCCAGCAAACGTTATAGCCTTTGTTGTTGTTTTTGAGCAGGAGTGTCTGTCGTCTACACTCAGGTTGTTCCACACGCTAACCCAGGGGTCGGCAAACTATGGCCCGGGGGCCGGATGCGGCCCACCAGGCTCGTAAATCCGGTCTGCGGACCCTGCCGCCCGCTCGGTCAGTCCCCGCGTTAAACCAGCGCAGTGCGGAGGCCTCACCATGCGGGGACTGACTTCCACAACGCCGGTGTGGCTTCCAATTGGCTGCAGGAAGCTCCTGCAGCCAATCCAAAGCCGTGGGTGATGCCCCTTCCTTCCCGCTGAGGCGGCCATGTATGGCCAAGAGCAGAAAGGGAGGAAGCTGCGGCGGCAGAGAGGCTGCTTCTGCCACCCAGGCCAGCAGCATGGGCTCTGCACCCCGCAGACCCCTGGCAGAGGCAGAGGATGATGACGACGCTGCTGAAGATAAGGTGGCGGTGGCGTGAGGGGCGGGTCCTTTCAGGAGAAGGTGGGTCTGGCCCCCCCACAAGGTCTGAGGGACAGTGGACCGGCCCCCTCCTGAAAGGTTTGCTGACCCCTGCACTAAGCGTTTCTCACTGCCTCCATTTCCATTTCTCACTGGAGGCAGTGAGAGGTTTTACTTTCTTGGGCTCCATGATCACTGCAGATGGTGACAGCAGTCCCAAAATTAAAAGACGCCTGCTTCTTGGGAGAAAAGCAATGACAAACCTAGACAGCAACTTAAAAAGCAGAGACATCACCTTGCCAACTAAGGTCTGTATAGTTAAAGCCATGGTTTTCCCAGTAGTGATGTATGGAAGTGAGAGCTGGACCATAAAGAAGGCTGATCGCCGAAGAATTGATGCTTTTGAATTATGGTGCTGGAGGAGACTCTTCAGAGTCCCATGGACTGCAAGAAGATCAAACCTCTCCATTCTGAAGGAAATCAGGCCTGAGTGCTCACTGGAAGGACAGATTCTGAAGCTGAGGCTCCAATACTTTGGGCCACCTCATGAGAAGAGAAGACTCCCTGGAAAAGACCCTGATGTTGGGAAAGATGGAGGGCACAAGGAGAAGGGGACGACAGAGGACGAGATGGTTGGACAGTGTTCTCGAAGATACCAGCATGAGTTTGACCAAACTGCGGGAAGCAGTGGAAGACAGGAGTGCCTGGCGTGCTCTGGTCCATGGGGTCACGAAGCGTCAGACATGACTAAACGACTAAACAACATCCTTCGTTGCCATCCTTCGTTGACTCACATTTTAGGGCAAACCCAGACAATGCCACTGAACCATTGTATCCCAAAGCTTCCTGCATGTTGTCTTCTTGTAGAGCCCAATTCAAAGTGCTGGTTTTGACCTATAAAGCCTTAAACAGCTCAGGACCACAATACCTCAAGGACCGCCTCTTTCCATATGAACCTACCCGGACCCTGAGATCATCTTATGAGGCCCTCCTTCGTGTGCCGTCTCCTTGAGGGGTCCGGAGAGTGGCAACACGAGAACAGGGCCTTCTCTACAGTGGCTCCCTGTCTGTGGAATGTTCTCCACAGGGAAGTTTGCCTGGCACCTTCATTATACACCTTTAGGCGACAGGCAAAAACGTTCATTTTGGTTGATCTGTTTGACATCCTATGCCCTTTTTTTTTTTTTTAAGGGGGGGTGTATTGGGTTGTTGTTTTTATTTTTATTATGTATTTTGGGATTTTATATCTTGATTTTATTCTGTGAACCACCGAAACCCCCGGGTATAGGGCAGTATATAAATTTAACAAAAACAATAATAAGTTGGAAGGGACCGCAATGGTCATCTAGTCCAACCTTCTGCAGTGCAGGAATCTTTTTGCCCAATGTGAGGCTCAAACTCACAACCTTAAGATTAAGTGCTCTACCAACTGAGCTATTGAACTTTTAATTAAAAGCTTCCACTGGCAGCTTCTGGCAGTTGTTTTGCCTGTTAAACATGGCAATGGAATTCCTGAAGAACAGCCCCATTAAATTGCGAAGTGTGACCTATGTAAGCATTATAAACTTGTGCTTTTATCAGCCCGTGACCCTTTTTCCCCAGAAGCTATAAAGCAACAGACAAAAATAAAAATACAACTTTTACCTGTTTGGGGCACTGTGTCATTGTACAAGGAGATGGCGCCACACACAGCAATTCTCCCAAATTTCTTCATCTGGCCCAGGGCAACACTTGAAAACTGGCCTCCGACCTGTTCAGATAAAGACCGTTACAATGTACCATGATGCAATGCATTGAAACAAACACTAAGGGGTTTCTGCTACAATTCCCAGCACATACTGTACATTTCCCAGTATTCTTTGGGGGAAACACATGACTGCTAAACTGGTGCAAGCATGTGTTATTAAATGCATGGTGTGCATGTGGATTTGACCACAGTATCTTTCTCTTTTCTCTCTCCATTCAGGCAGGCTGGCCACTTTTAATTTTTTTGGTGAGGGGAGGCAGGTCCCCCGCCCCCCGAAGCACTTTGCATGCATATCGGCTTAAATAAAACCAACTTCGGAGTTTGGACACTCTGACAGTTTTCTTTACTATTGAAAAACTACCCAGAAGGGGAGGAAGGTGGCTTTGTGTACTGGAAACCAAGCCATGGGTGGATCTACACACTGGGGGGGGGGGCGACTCTATAAATAAGTCAGAAATTAAATTGTTATAACAAAAGTGGGCAGGGACGCGGACTTATAAAAAATATTGGGGGGGCCCGGGAAAGCTCATGAATAATAAATAAGCTCATGAATATGCAAATAAAGTGGCTCCGGCCCTAAATAGGGCAAGCCACGCCCCCCCAGCCAGCCAATCGGCTGGCTGGGAGGTGTGGCCAGTCGGGATTCCCCTGTTCTCGCGGGGGCCAGGAGGAAGGAAATTCCCCCCGGCAGTGCCTTGGCCCCCGGGGATTCCCTAATCTCGCGGGGGACGGCCGGGGCTCTCCGACTAGGGCGCGCGGCTGGCTGGCTGGCTGGCGAGGGAGCAGGTGGGGAGGAGGCGGGGGACGGCGGCGGCGCTCTGCTGGAAGGGCGCCCGAGATTATTGGGGGGGCTGAGCCCCCCCAAAAAAAATTTTGAGGGGGCTCGAGCCCCCTCAGGCCCCATGGAGTCGGCGCCTATGAAAGTGGGGGGAACCAGAATGTAAAAAAAATGTATAGAAAATGTTTTCTCTCTGGTGCCATCTAGTGGCGCATGTTTGTAAGGAATTTAAAACGTCCTTTGAATTCAACCGTCATGAGGAACGGTTGAAGGAGCTAGGTATGTTTATAGTCTGGACAAAAGGAGCTACAATTCCCAAACAGGAACTGCCTGTTAAACCATTTTAGGAATTGTACCTCTACAGTATCCAAGTGGTACAACACTGCTTTGAGCGTATTCTGCTGATGGGGCCGAAGTTTTCAAACTGAAAAAAATTGCTGCAAGCAGTATCTCTTATTTCCAGGGAATTGAGCAGGTAAGGAAACAGGCCCCTGCAGTTATGTGTTGGGAAGATCAAACTGGCAAGTCAATGCAGGTGTTCAAATTATTCCGGGCAGGCTTGTTTTTACAAGGTAGGCTTCTCTGGTTCAGCACACAAATCTTAGCTCCAACTTGCCGCAGGTGTGTAAGTCACTGTGGCTCGCTCAGCACCTATCCTGCCTGACATGTATGATCTAGCTGAGATTCCTGGATTGGAGCAGGTTGGACTAGATGACCCTAGAATGACCCCTTTCCATCTTTAGAATTCATCGCATTGGGACAGGTTCAGGCTGTTGCTTGCCCAAAACCAAGGATGTTTAGCAGCTCCTTTGCTACAGCAAAGTCTGTGCACTGGCATAACCTTGCTCTAGCAAGGTTAGACCGAAAGCTTTTGACAACGTCCCACTCCAAACAAGCAAACAATACCAAAAAGCTTTCCTTCAATCAGGGGTGGAGTGTGCGGGGGTCCCAGGAGGCACAATTTTTAGGGGGGGGTGAACCAGACGTCCCTATCCTGCCCTGCTTGTTTGCTAGGGGTATCTGGGACCCGGATCATGGCCTCACATCTGCATCCTCAGCCCCCTTGCTGACCGTGTGACGTTAACATATGAGAGTGCTGGAGGTGAAATAGTTAAACAGGTTACCCAGTCAGAACCCAGGGGGGTGGAGTCAGAGAGACTATAAAACCAGCTCTGGGAGGGGCGAAGAGAGGTTGGTTGGTTGGAGTGGGAGTGAATGGGGATAGAGTCTGTGGGGAGGTTGAGTTAGTGTAGCGAAATAAGCTGAGTCAGGAACAGTTAGGAGCTAGGAAGACAAGTAAATATCTGAGAGGTGGTTTAGTGAGAGAGAGCAAGTAGCGGAAGTTTTAGGTCTGGATAGGCACCCCATGTTTGTAATTGACCGATACCATTTATGAAACCACACGCTTGTTAAACTGCAATAAATAAACAGAAGTTTATGTTCCAATTTAACCCTGACTGGACTCAGCATTGTCCCAGGTAGGGCCTGGGTGGTGGCAGCAAGAAATAAAGTGGTGGCACAGGGATCAATAGACGGTGAAACGTCCGGGGACCCTGTGTGATCGCCACAGACTGCCAAGGGCCGCACCGGCCGGCTGGGCTCATTCCGGTGCGAGTAGCTGGCACAGCGCAGCCCCTGCTTGGCTCCAGCTGCAAGGGCTCAGCCATGGGCTCCATAAATCCTCCATGCCCCATGTGCCCACCTGGCGACACTAGCATTGACAGCTGGGGCAGTGGATTCTGTTCACCCTCCACACCACACCCCAATGTGCATGCGCACACGCTGTAGGTGCCAGCAAACGGCGCAAACGTCTCCCGCATTTCAAGAGTTGGCGCTCCGTTTGAGCTTACGTTGTCGAAGTAGCAGTCATAGCCATCGGGCGAAGCTTTCTTCAGGGCCTCTTCCAGAGACCCCACCGTCTTATAGTTGAAGGCTTCATCATAGCCAATTTCTTTGAGGAAGGCCACTTTCTTGTCCGAACCTGCACAGCCAACCACTTTGCAACCCTGCAGGATAAAGAAAATAAGTTATATAATGCTTCCTCGCACTGCTCGTGCCGTTTCAAAACCATAACTGTCAACCGTCCTTTATTTGGCGGGAAACTCCCTTATCCCAGCGCCGTGTCCCGCTGCTGTCCCTTATTGATGATGTCCCTTAAATTTCCCGGGTTTCAAAGGAAGCAGCTCCTCTCCCTCCCTCCCTGCAGGCCAGGGAGGAGGGAGGCTCCAACTGTGTTGCTTGGCTGCCCGGCCCACCCCCCTCCAGCCTCCTCTCACCAGCCTCGGCCCCCTGGAGACCCTCCCTGCTTGGACTGGCAGGAGCCTCAGGCCCTTCCACCGCCATCCTCCTTGCGGCCGCCGAACTGAGCGTCTCTGCCTGGGGCCTCCCCTCTGCCCACCGCCGCTCCCGCTAGGCCGTACTGCGGCTGCACTGCCGAAGGACCCGGATGAGATGGGCAGCCTGGCGCGGCCTATGAATTGCAGAGGAGCCTTGAGAGGAGAGCGAGGGCAACCATAGAGAAAGCAGCTCAGAGAGAGGAGGCGGAGGCGCGGGCAGGTGTTCCAAGGGCTAACCATAGAGGCGGAAAGCGGAGGAAGGACCGCAAGCGCTTCTCCCATACATTTGTAGTGGTAGACTAGCATAGATGGTCTGATCTGCGGGTTTACTTCAGGTGCTATTCCCCCCCCCCTTCCTCCCGCCTCGCCTGATGGAACTGAGAGCTGCAGATGGAGCGCAAGAGAAAAGATACAGAACTGCAGCAGCATCTTTGTAACTTGGACTTCGTTTTGCGCGAAAAGTGGTTGCTGCTTGTAGTTATTTAATTGCAGTGTTTCATCAGCTGGTGTCTTGAGCAGCAACCTCTGGAAACGAAGGGCTAAAAACCGGCGCTGCTCTCCCAAATTATCTGGTCCCTTTTAACTTTGCATTTCAGCTGGTTGACTAAAATTCCTTATTTTGGCTGCTGATCCCTTATTTTCAAATCTGTAAGTTGACAGCTATGTTCAAAACCCATTTGTTTTTCACGCCATTCAGGAAACCATCACAACGCTACACGCTCAAAAGGTAACCGGACTGACAGCTTTCTTCCTGCCATTTCTCATCCATGCTCCTCTTTGGAGTGCTGCAGCGTCCTTAATTCTCCTGACTGCGCAAGCTGAACGAGCCCATGCACGATAAAGAACTCTGCGTCATCGTCACGGGCAAAGCATCAAGCTTTGTGACAACAAGCGAAAGGGCCAGAGGAGATTAACAAAAATTAAAGAATCTCGAGACACCGGGATGGAAGCCAAAGCACCAGCGCTTTTGTCTCTTCGAGACAACCATGCCTGCAGAAAGAAAAATCCTCTCCTGCCATCGGAGCAAAGTGAACATTGCATGCCAATACACTTCTCCCATAGCAGCTGGCATGGTGGGGCAGAGATGCCAAGCCACCAAGCCTGGTGCCATTGGAGTTTATCTGGATGGGACAGGCAGGGGGTGCAAAGCGGCTGCAAGGTTCGGCAGCCTGTGGATACTGTGGCAGAGGCAACCCAGGACTCCTGCTGGAATATCCACGCAGGCCTAATGGCAGCCGAGCACACATGATGCCAGCCAAAATCCATAGCCCCTGCCGTTTCTTGAAAACTATTCTTGTTTTGTCACGTTTCCCCTCAAACCAGCTTCCCTCCGGGGGGGCTCCGCTAGGGGCACCTTGGAAGATGGCCGGCAATACCATCTCTCCAGCTCACACGAGGTAATTAAGGGGCTGATATGGAAGTAAATCAGCCTCCCGTTTTTCTTCCCGGTGTAAGGGAAGATGCAGCCTCGTCCGCGGTTGCCTATAAATCAACCCCAAGTTCGAAAGAAGGAGGGGGTGAGGGCACTGGACGGAAAACCCTCGAGCGAGCTTGAATCTCCCGGACGCTGTCTCCGAGTTCGACCCTAGTTGCATTTCTTAAGATGAAAAATTGGATATAAGATTAATTACACATACTTTGAGTGAAGAAAAGGCTATGTTAGCTGCTAATTAAGCCTGCCACTGAGAAGTTAAGAGTGATGGATTGGACTGGAACGGAGATGACATCAAAGAATAACATCTATGCCGGTATGTTGAAACGGAATGGAAAGGGGGGGGGGACTTTTTATTTTCTTTTTACGATATTACCTAACAACCCCCCTCCTAGAAGAATCGTTAATATGAACTATAGCAAGTGAGATTGGAAAATAAACTGTGTGGAAATAAAAATATCAACTAAAGCCTTTGTTTTTTGAAATATCTGGAAAGAAAATAAAAGGTTCTATTGTGATGCAGTTTTTAATCAGGATCCGCCATTATGAGACAGACTATGTTGCGAGATTAATAGTCATAGGGGGAGGCGAGCCATTACTCTGTTATCATGTTTGTATTCTAAGTTCGACTTGGCAATTCTTCCCTGGAAAGACTAATTTATGGTGCAACTTTATGAGCAAACGCCTAGATTTATGAGCAACTTTATGAGCAAACGCCTAGATTTTATTTCATCGGAACTGAGAAATATGGCGTCTGCCACCCTAGGAGGACTTTGGATCAGCATGTGAGGATTTATGACAAACAAAAGACTTACCAGCTTTAAAAAAAGGTAGAGCCTTACAAAGTTCACACAGAAGCATAATATTGCTTACTTTAACTCACCTGTGGAAACAACTCAGAGGCTATTAGGAAGAAAAAGGAAAACAACAAGAAGATTGAAAGATGGGACTGGTGAACACTAAAAGCAGCAGAAATATGAGATGATTGGACCCTACTGAACTCGAAGCATGGGAACCCCCAACAAAAATTTATAATTTGGCAAAATATTTGGACTTTATGATATGTATTGGTATAATTTGGAATAATTAATGTGATATGATTGGATTGTTAAATGGAAAACTTAATAAAAATTATTATTTAAAAAAAACCCAGCTTCCCTCCAATTTGAAAATACAGGCCGTGGTTACGCAAAGGTGTGTACGTCTGAAAGCTGTCATCGCGCATGTGCAGAAGACAGCTTCACTGAATTGGGGGGGGGGCTGCAGGCACAGAGAAACCTGGCGAGGCGCATTGTGTCAAGACACACCCACCCCGCCTCCTCTCTGGTGCATACCCCAAAGGAAAAATGCAACTGGAAACACAGTGCAGGTAAGCAACATCACTAAGATGCTAAGATGCACTAAGATGCTAACGTGTACCTAAGCCCACGACTTTGCACCATCACGCCAGCCGATATCTCACTTTTCTTAACACGCACAGACGTAGAGCCACTGTCAAACTAGCCTAACAAAGGGAGGCCCCAATTTCCACCTGGATTCCACATCTGGATTCTGAATAATTCACAGGATGGTTATTAAAGAGAGAAATGCTTCTCAGACTGTTCTACTTTGCAAGAAAGGAACGTGCACACACCTTTTTTAAGGTTCAGGGTGGATGGATCACAGTAGTTTTGTCCTAATTTCTTTCTCTCTCTCTCTCTCTCTCTCTCTCTCTCTCTCTCTCTCACACACACACACACACACACACACACACACACACTCACATGTACATTCTTGTCCCATTCCCCATCAAATCAAGCGGTGCAGAGATGTAATAATAATAATAATAAATTTTTATTTGTACCCTGCCCTTAGAAAACCGGGCTCAGGACGGCTAAGAACAAATTTTAAACACTTAAATTGATGCAACCAAAAATAGCATAAAATACAGTATAAAACATGAATAACAATAAATTCAGAATTCAAAAATCAATTTAGGGGGGAAATCCATCCAATAAACATTAGATGATCACCAGGGCTAGCTGGCTAAATCAGTCCTATTTGGGCCAGCGAGGAGACCAGGGGAGAATTAGCTGTGGGATCCCAGAGCGGGTAGTCTTCATAAAAAGGGGAGGGGAGGGAAGGAAGGAAGGAAGGGGAATAAAAGATCAGGCTAAGTCCAAATTGAAAGCCAGGCAGAATAGCTCTGTCTTACAGGCCCTGGAGAAGGAAGTTAAATCCTGCAGGGCCCTGGTCTCATGGGACAGAGCATTCCACCAGATCGGAGCCATCACTGAGAAGGCCCTGGCCCTGGTGGATAGTCTGACTTCCTTAGGGCCCAGGACCTCTAAACTATGATTATTCATGGACCTTAAGGTCCTCTGCAGGGCATACCAGGAGAGGCGGTATGTACTGCCTGGGACACTTCCTCTGAGTCCCCCTGCCCTTTCTGCTCTGGGCCCATAACACCAACACGTTCTTCCACGACCGCTTACCTTTATTTTCGCGATCTGCCCGGCCACACTCCCCACAGCCCCAGCTGCAGCGTTGATCAGGACGGTATCTCCAGGTTTCATCTGACAGATCTCAAGCAGGCCAAAGTAGGCAGTGAGCCTGGGAGGGACAGAGGGGAGGGAGGGAGGAAAAGTTAGCTTGTCAAGGATGTCGAAGGGAGCATGGCGTCCTTCTCACGCCAACCTCCCCAAGCTGCTTTGCGAGGCTGGTACCACTCTGGCAGCGGCGAGAGTTGGGCTGGCATTCAATGGGCTCCCTTTGCCCTCTATATCCCCCCGCCCGGTGCAGACAGCTCCCATTGCTCAGTCCCTGCTCCTGCCAACCTAGCAGTTCAAAAGCACATCAAAGTGCAAGTAGATAAATAGGTACCACTCCGGCGGGAAGGTAAACGGTGTTTCCATGTGCTGCTCTGGTTCGCCAGAAGCAGCTTAGTCATGCTGGCCACATGACCCGGAAGCTGTATGCCGGCTCCCTCAGCCAATAAAGCGAGATGAGTGCCGCAACCCCAGAGTCGGCCACGACTGGACCTAATGGTCAGGGGTCCCTTTACCTTTAAATACAGTGGTACCTCAGGTTACAGACGTTTCAGGTTACATATGCGTTAGGTTACAGACTCCGCTAACCCAGAAATAGTTAAGAACTTTGCTTCAGGATGAGAACAGAAATCACGTGGCGGTGACAGCGAGAGGCCCAATTAGCTAAATTGGTACCTCAGGTTAAGAACAGTTTTGGGTTAGGAGCGGACCTCCAGAACGAATTAAGTTCTTAACCTGAGGTACCACTGTATATCCATAAAAAGGGGATATTATGGGGGGCAGACTTGGTTCGTGGGGGTGGAACCTCCGTTAATTGAGTGTTTTCAATGCTTTTCAATGGCTTTTGTGGATCTGGAGGGGGGGAGAGCTACACAACCGGCTACACAACCATGTCTATGCCTTCTCACATTTCGCACAAGCGCCACGATGCATCAGTGCCCAAAAGGGAGTGGAAGCCACACACATCAGTGCCCAAAAGGGAGTGGAAGCTCATCCCCAAAGCTTCTGAGCCACTTCCAAGGCTACTCACCCAGGCATGCCAATAGCTCCCAGAGCCAAAGATCGGGGCAGTTTTTCCGGCCAGTTAGGTAGCATAGGAAACAGCTCTTTGCTTGTGGAGATGAAGTGAGTTGTCCAGCCTGCTCTTGCTAGGGCGAAGGAACCCACAGGGAACGTGGGGCACTTGCTTTCCAGAACTCTACATATTTATGTTTTTAAAAAAAAAAGCACAGTTGCATCAGCAAAACTGCTCTGCGTACAGCAAAGTGAAAGCAGATTTTGTCATTTATTTCTAAACAGGTATCAAGCTGCTGCAACAATTTACTGTGCAGAGAGAGGTATCGGAGAGGATTTTTTTTTGCATAGAATCGGCAGCATGCTCTCCAAAGATGGGACACAGGTTCCATTGATAAGGGTGCCCCGTCTGCTCTACAGACTTAATGCAGTGCCGTACCATAGTCGCAGCTTCTGCCAAAGAATCGTGGGAACTGTAGTTAGTTAAGAGTGCTGAGGGTTATTAGCTGAGAGTTCTTCCCTCCACAGAGCTACAATTCCCGGAGAGGTTTAACCATCACTTCCTCTTCCCAAAATTCTTTAGGGGAAGTCACATACAATACAGACAGGGCTCCTGACACTATAGCTCAGCACTATAGCTATGCCCAGATTCAAATCCTCCCATCCCCAGCTATGACTGAGTAAGACTGCCTGAAGCTCTGGGGAGGTTCCACTAATGGGTGTGGACTGTACTCAGATACAGGAATCATTGGTTTAAGGCAGGAAGCTGCCTATGTTTCTAATATCAATCACCACAAATCTACTAAAACACAGTGCTTTCTTCTTAAAAAAAAAAGTTTAGGGGTACTCTCATTTTGACTCAAGAAAATCACCATTTTATAATTCAAATTGGGGGAAATAAATACAGTAAATGGACTAAAGTACAAAGATTCACAGTATGTTTAGGGGTATGTGTCCGCCTGTGTCCCCCCCAGAAAAAAGCACTGCTAAAATATAATGTGTTCCCTGAAATCTTAATTCTGTTTCCAGTCTATTTCTCTCCCTCTCACACGCACGCATGCTTGTTTAAAGAACGCCACCTTAAACATTTGCAAAGCACAAAAGATATGCTAGAACTACTTTATATTAACTAAGGCTCAAGGATAGCAGCAGCAACACAGCTGGCAACATCAGCAAAATCTTTTCACAAACACACACAGAGAGAGATGTTGATGGAGGATCTTACTTTGCAACTTGGGATCCTAGCATTGTATCCCCTTCCTTCAGATGAATCCTGCTGTATGGTCTGTAGAGAACAAAACAAAACACACCAACAAGACAGGCTTGTCAGAGAATGTCTAGAGAATGCCTTTGCAGTTATGGGAGCAATTTGCACTGACAATAGGGATTCGAACCCAGAACCAGCCTTTTACTATGCTTCTTGTTTTTTTGCCTTTATAAACTTTTGATAACCACGACCGCTTCAAAACACAAGAGCATGCAACAAGAGGCATGGTATCCAAGTCAATGTTTCCATTATGGTGTATAATTCGGAGTTTGCCAACTGACCAGAGCAATGGCCTGGCCTGCTCTTGTGCAGTCAACAACCACCGAGAGAGCAGAACTACAGAACAACTCATACACAGTCTGCATATAAATGTTCTAAACTACCAGCATTTGCAGAGAGAAGTTGTTATAAAGGCACAGGAGTAGCGGCTGGTAAGAATTGGTAAGATTAACAACCCTACTTATGGCAAAAGCAACAGAAATGAAATACTAATGGCAATATAATGCAAGACCACACAGAGGACAGCATAAGCTGTTAACAATGGGCGGTCAGTCTATAATTTTTCACGAGGAACTTTCTCTACAGTGTTTGAAATTTCATAAAATTGCCTGTTGGCGTTCTTCAAAAACGTGTCATAATATAGTGAAGTAGGTTCAGCTACTTCCTGGTCATGGCCTCAGCATTTGAAAGTATATTTTTATCTTATCTTATATTTTTAATGACAAAGCCACTTCTGGGCCTGCCCCAAGAGGTGGGGTTGCGGGCATCACGCCCTCCCCACGTAAGCGGGGGCTGGTTTCAGCCCCCGCGAGAGCAGGGGAATCCCGACCGTCCACGCCTCCCAGCCAGCCAATCGGCTGGCTGGGGGGGCGTGGCTTACCCTATTTAGGGCCGGAGCAGAGGGGGCTCACCCTCTCTTCTCCGGCTAGCCCCCACGGATAGTCGATAGGACCAATGCCTAAGCCAATGCCTCTCATTCCTGAATTCAATAAAGTTGTGGCCTAATTCGCCCAATTAACCTTAATTATTGTGTCTCGTGTGTTTATTTATCTTGGTGGGGGGCGGGAACTCGCCACGCAAATTGCTCCTAGGAGAATTCCGTACAGGGATTTCAAATCCTGAAGTCGTAGGCTGTGGTGACAGACTTATCCTCTGGAAACTTACACCAATTTACTGTTAAAACTCTGCTACAGAATAAGCTCTCAAGGGAAGACAAAAGCTGCGCTCCAACACAATGCTGAACTACAAATTCAGCTATTCTTGGGCTCACACTCTCGGTTTCCTCTTTCCTCACGGCCGTGAAGAAATTAGAAACTTCTGCTTTCGAATAACTGTGGTTTGCTGCGATGCCTGAAACCTTGTCTGTAGTTATTTGTTATGAATGGTTAGTGGAAACGAGCCAAATTTGTTAACTATGGTTGGGAGTTGGCTTGGTTCCGCTAACTATAGCTAAGACGACATAGCTACATCTTGTTGGAGTTTTGGGCAACACAGAAAGTTTTGCAAACTTTCAAAACCGAAGTGAAAGATTCCGAGCTCTTCTTGATGGCCACAGCGACAAAGGAGCGTGCGAGAGCCTAAGGTTTGCTGTGGGCTCATTCACATCATGCGAAACTATGGTTTCGTCTTGCATCCAAACTGGCTCAGAGTTAACATTTAATAGGGAAATCTAGGCAAGAGGTATAGCCAAGCTGTACTGCAATTTCAGGGTTATACTTCAATGGGTAAGTCCAACAAAAAGAACAATACCTCATATATGGGTCAAGACTGAGGAACACAGTTTCAAGCAGCACCTCTGAAATACAGAATATGATAAAGTAGATTAATGGACAAACTTGACCATAGATCGGAGACAATCTTAGTCTCTTAAATTCGTTAAAAAATAGTCACCATGGCAAGAGAGAACCAGATAGGGTTGGGGCATCTGAAAGGCTTCAGGCTGGGATCCAAGACATGTTTACTCAGTAGTAAGTCTTACTAAGTTCGAATCGTAGAGTTGGAAGGGGACCAAGCGGTCATCTAGTCCAACCCTCTTCAATGCAGGAATCACAACGAAAGAAACCCTATCCAGTGGTGTAGCATGGGGAACACAGGCAGTTGCCCCGGTTGCAAAATGATTAGGGGCGCAAAATTTCAACACCCGGTGCTGCCTGAATACAGCTGCATGCTTCTGTCACTGTACGCCGTTGAAAAGAAGCTTTTCCATGCAAACCAGGAAGAGGGGCGCAAAATTTCAACACCCAGTGCTGCTTGAATATAGCTGCATGCTTCTGTCACTGTACGCCATTGAAAAGAAGCATTTCCATGCAAACCAGGAAGTGACCTCTCCAGACAATGACTCTTCTTTCCCTATCTCTGCAGCTGCAAACTCCTGGGTGACGTGGATGTCATTAGGCGTTGAATGAGCATGCGTACTCCACCCATTTCCCTCCCTTCCACCCGCTCCATGTGGCCCCGGGCACTGTCAACCCAAGCTACACCACTGTCCCTATCCAACCTCTGTTTAAAAACCTCTAGTGAATGAGAGAGTCTACCACCTTCTGACACAGTTCATTCCGTTATCAAACAGCTCTTGACCTGTCCTATTCTCCAGTGCAGCATAATACAAGCTTGCTCCACCTCCCTTGGAATCAAATGCAATGAAAATCATTTCTTCTTAGCAAATGTTCCACATGCATCCTATTGAGATTCATGTTCTGATGGTGGGCCAAAATGACGAGTCAATGGATTCACCCCTTCAGTTTATTCACATAAAACTTTGAGTACGAAGGCAAAAATCCCTCTTACCTCCATCCTTCAGTGCCGGTAATTCCACCTCTTTCAGTTCAAAATCACTGTGCTTAGGAAATCCCTCAAAGTGCTTCTTCAAGATCCAAATCTTTGCACGCACCATCTTTCACGTCCTGAGTGATCAAATAAGATTATACAAAGTTATAAACCATTAGAGGAATTGCCTGTGTGCTGGTCTCCACACTCTTCAATTGCTGAAGCAAAGGTTTGTGTGTCTCCCCAGCCCCACATTAAAACTGGGAACACACTTCTGTGATTTATTTCCTTAATCAGGTCCCTGAACCACAGGCTGGTGGGTATCCTCCTTGCAATTCCAGGATACCCCAACTAACATTATTTTCTTGCAACCTGCTCTCTTCTTTCCTTTGGATGAAAGCATTGCATCTTTCAGATTTCATCATGCCTATCAGCTGTATAGGGACACAGGTGGAGCTGTAGGTTAAACCACAGAGCCTAGGACTTGCTGATCAGAAGGTCGGCGGTTCGAATCCCCGCGACGGGGTGAGCTCCCGTTGCTTGGTCCCTGCTCCTGCCCACCTAGCAGTTCGAAAGCACGTCAAAGTGCAGGTAGATAAATAGGTACCACTCCGGCGGGAAGGTAAATGGCGTTTCTGTGTGCTACTCTGGTTCGCCAGAAGCGGCTTAGTCATGCTGGCCACATGACCCGGAAGCTGTATGCCGGCTCCCTCGGCCAATAAAGTGAGATGAGCGCCGCAACCCCAGAGTCGGTCATGACTGAACCTAATGGTCAGGGGTCCCTTTACCTTTTACTATCAGCTGTATAGCACAGCTGACAGAATCCCAATGCACCCTTCCTTTCTTTTGGGTAAAGGACTGTGGAAGAGAGCTGCATTGACATGGCAGATTAGTCCATTTCCCCAACATTTCCCTAACGGTTAATTTCCACATTATACTTCAGCTTTCACATGATGTGAAATCCAATTCCAGAAATATAGCAGAACCTGGAACCAAGTTAGGACTCCTTTCTGTGTCGGTTGCAAATGGGTGCTTTTTGACCTAACGACACAGAAACAAGCACTAATCCTTGCTCTAGCTTTTGCTATATTTCTGGAAGCAGATTTTCACATCATGTGAAAGGGCCAAATGTAATGTAGAAGTTAGAGAAAAGTCAGGAAATTGAGACAAATTGCCATGCGAATACAACCTTGGTTTCCAATCACTGCCACTAGATTTTGTTTCATATACCTGCTTAAAGTCTCCTTAGCCAGCCCCTCCAAGTCACTCCCTTTTAAAGATTTAAACAAGGCACTGAAATGTGTAACTAAAGGGTAGGTTTGCACACAATGATTTGTCAATCTCTCTGCCCTTTTCTTCTGCCACACTGCAAGGAGATTGCTTTGTAACCGGAGCAGTTATGAAACCACCACTCTGTGTGAAAGGGCATTTCACTGTGAACGATCAACACAAGCTTCGTGCCTTCTCCTAGCGATTCGCTCCTGAACGGGAACATTACCTTTTGCAAGTTTTCTTTTGTATTATTACCAAAGTTGCTGACACACCCTGAACGTTAGCATATTGAAACTTGTGGGAAACTGCAACAAGATGTGGTAGATTAGTTTCGGACAGAGGTGGGGTATCTGGTCTTCCAGATATCACTAGAAGTCCCATGAGTCCTAGAGCCAGCATGACCAATGGACAGGGATGGTGAAAATCCAACATCTAGAAGACCACAAGTTCCCCATCTCTGGACTAGACCAGTGCTATAGCAATAATTAACATACAATCATAGAATTGTAGAAATGGAAGTAGGGTTGCCATATAAAAAGGTAAAGGGACCCCTGACCATTAGGTTCAGTCGTGACCGACTCTGGGGTTGCAGCGCTCATCTCGCTTTATTGGCCAAGGTAGCCGGCGTACAGCTTCCAGGTCATGTGGCCAGCGACTAAGCCGCTACTGGCGAACCAGAGCAGCGCATGAAAACGCCGTTTACCTTCCTGCCGGAGCGGTACCTATTTATCTACTTGCACTTTGACGTGCTTCAAACTGCTAGGTTGGCAGGAGCAGGGACCGAGCAACGGGAGCTCACCCCGTCGTGGGGATTCAAACCGCCAGCCTACTGATTGGCAAGTCCTAGGCTCTGTGGTTTAACCCACAGCGCCATCCGCATCCCTAGGGTTGCCATATATTGAAGAGCAAAAAAGGGCAGCTCAAGCCGCTGCAAGCCCGAGTCAGGGAAAGAGGCACGTGGGGCTGCCACAGCAATGCCCATGTGCCTCTTTCCCCAGCTCAGGCTGGCAGCAGCATGCAGATAAGCCAGAGCAGAGGCAGGACCCCAGCTCCTGATATTCGCTGCAAAGGCCTTGCTCTGCTGTGCTGCTGCTGCTGGGGCACAGCGCCCTCCCAAGCAAGTGTGCGCCCCCCAACATTTTCTTTAAACTGCAAAAAATCTACCCATATGTGCATGTTAGGGCCCCCCAAAAGAGGAGAATGTCTAGTTTTCCTGGATGTATGGGAACCCAATAATAATAATAATAATAATAATATATTATTAATAATAATAATAATAATAATAATTTATTTATACCCCGCCCTTCCCAGTTTAAAAACCAGGCTCAGGGTGGCTAACAGCAAATATAAAACAGTGATTAAAATGCAACTTTGAAACAGCATAAAACAGAACATAAAATGCAGCATCAATATCAATAGAATTCAAAAATTCAGGGGTCATGGGGGGGGGGGGACAAAACCCAGTCAGTAGACAAATGATCACCAGGGCAACTGGCCAAGTTGGTCCTACTAGGGCCAGCAAGGAGACCAAGGAAGAATTTAAATGTGAAAAGGTTTCTTCATAGAAGAGGAAAGGGAAAAGGCCATAGAGGATCAGGCTAATTCAAATTGAAGGCCAGGCAGAATAGCTCTGTCTTACAGGCCCTGCGGAAGGAGATCAAGTCCTGCAGGGCCCTAGTCTCATGGGACAGAGCATTTCACCAGGTCGGAGCCGCCACTGAAAAGGCCCTGGCCATGGTGGAGGATAGTCTGGCTTCCTTAGGGCCCGGGACCTTTAAGCTATTATTCTTCATGGACCTTGGGGTCCTCTGAGGGACATACCATTTCCTAATGGAAGTGACCCTCAGGATCCTCTAGTCTAATGCAGGAATATCCAGCTCTCCCAACCTGCAACCTTGGCTTTATCAGTACCAAGTTCTAACAAACTGAGCTTGGGTTGCTCAGGTGTTTTTTTTTTGGGGGGGGGGGAGAGAAATTATTTTCTCAATCAACTAATGAGAAAAGACTCAGCCAGCAAATGGCCACATACGAAAGCTAATTTCCTTGTTAGATAAAAGATATGGATGTACATTATATGGGCAAAGGGCTGCAGCTTGGCATATGTTTCGCATGAAAAAGGTTCCAAGTAAACTCCCAGAATCCTCAGCGAGGGCGTACCTTAAACCCTGGACAAAGGCAGGTGTTGCCCACTTCAATTTGTTAATCTCTCTAGCTTATCTTCTATCAAGAGCTTGCTTCGCTTTAATAATCAGAAGAATTATGAAACCACCACTCCCTCGAGGTGAAAGAGCATGAGCAATAAAAGCTCGATCATACATTCTCCTGGTGATTCATTCCTAAATGGAACGTTACGTTTTGCAAGTTTTCTCTTGCATTATGTCAAAGCTACTGACATCGTAGACGTTAATGTACAAGATGCAATTTACGAGGAAAACACAAGAAGATGTGATAGATTTGGCCAGGGATCGTGGAATATACTCGGAGCCCTGTAGTGATTTCATGCTCTTTATTGCAGCTTGTACGCGGGTGGCGCTGTGGGTTAAACCACAGAACCTAGGACTTGCCGATCAGAAGGTTGGCGGTTCAAATCCCCGCAACAGGGTGAGCTCCCATTGCTCGGTCCCAGCTTTTGCCAACCTAGCAGTTCGAAAGCACGTCAAAGTGCAAGTAGATAAATAGGTACCACTCCGGCGGGAAGGTAAACGGCGTTTCCGTGTGCTGCTCTGGTTCGCCAGAAGTCATGCTTAGTCATATGTTGGCCACATGACCTGGAAGCTGTATACCAGCTCCATTGGCCAATAAAGTGAGATGAGCGCCGCAACCCCAGAGTCGGTCACGACTGGACCTAATGGTCAGGGGTCCCTTTACCTTTACTGCAGCTTGTAAAACAGTGATTGAATTGCCCCCAAAACATAACATAAAGGTTTTCATAATCATATAAGAAGAAAAACGCTTATAAAAGTTTGGAATAAATATAAAGACTTTCTAGAACCAAAAACCCCATGGTGGCTCTTGCCAGTGGAAGCATTAGCATTAAAACCACTTAGTAAGGGAGGAAATTGGCCGACATATAGAGAATTATTAATAGAGGTGGGAAAAGGGTTAATGCTGAAAGGATATAAGGAACTGAATACCTTTTTACAAAGTTGGTTACATCATAGACAATTAAATGAACAGTTTAAGGAAGACAGTAAGAAAGGGTTTAATTATACAGTTTCAAACTTTCAAAAAGAGATAGTCGAGAGTGACACGAAATTACTTTAAAAAAGTACAATCTCCTACTTTATGGGAAAACATTAGTTGAAATGGTAAAGTCAGCACAAATAAAGTGGGCTCAGGATTTAGGTCATAATATACAACTTGAAGATTGGGAAAAGATGTGGAAGGTGAAACTAAAATTTGCAGATTGTATCTTATTGAAAGAGAATTATATGAAAATGATGTATAGATGGCATATAACACCAGAGAAAGTGGTCAAAATGTATAAAAAGGGATCAAAAACCTGTTGGAAATGTAAAGAAAAAGATGGGACATTCTATCATATGTGGTGGGAATGCAAAAAGATTAGAAATTATTGGGAAATGATATATAATGAATTGGAAAAAATGTTTAAAAAGATCTTTGTTAAGAAAGCAGAAGCATTGCTTCTAGGAATTTTAGATCAAGATGTAAAAAAAGAAAATTGGAAATTATTTATGTATGTAACAACAGCGGCAAGAATTATATTAGCACAAACTTGGAAGACAGAAGAAATACCAACGAAAGAACAATGGCAAGGGAAACTTATGGAATATGCAGAACTGGCAAAACTAACAGAAAAGTTACATGAAAAGGACAACAAAGACTTTAAAAGAGAATGGGAACCATTTACAACATATATGAAGAGGCAACATAAAGAAATGGACTCATTGGCAGGGTTTGAATAAACAATCACAACTGTATACAACAAAAAATAAGACCATATGTATTGGGAAAATTTTGGGGAAACAATACACAGGGTGAACAATATGGGGGAGAAACAAAATGGGAGTATGGGGGAAGTCCAGGGGAGGAGGGCCAAAATATGAAAAATTGTTAAAGATATATTGTTAGAAGAAGTATACATGGAAAAATCAATAAAAAAATATTTTTTTTAAAAAAAAGAATTGCCCCCCCAAAAAACCTCAGGCTTTTATTTACATTACATTTACGTTATTTACACAATGAGTCTCGTCTGATTGGCTGAGTCTGCTTCCCTCCTGGAGCCTGATTGGTCTTTTCCTGCAGGCCAATCAGTTGTTGCATTTTAGGATCCTAATTGCCTATTGTTCTAGGATCCAAGCTTAGTACATAACAAAGCTAGTGTCCAGTACTTTTTACGTTCCACCTGAATGGATCACTGAATCAAAGACAAGGAAAAGATAAGCTACAAAAGAAGCCAGGAAAGCATTATAGCGATGGATCAATTAACCCAATAGTTGTCAATGGTTAAGGAAGGACTGTGCTTGACTGACAGATGTTATCAGCACTCCTCCTCCCCCTACAAAAATAAACATAAAATTGGATGAATGGACCAAAAAGATTCTCTCTTTCTGCTTACAGAGAAGACTCAGAACATACTAACGATTTCAAAACACCAAACAGAAACGGGTAACTTTGAGAAGGTCAGCAATTCATCATTCCCAGAAAGCCTTCAAACCAAGCCTGCTTTTCGCATTACAAAACCTAAACTTTGGACTACACTGAGTGATTGTTAAGAAATTAGAAGATTTAAAATGGTCTGCATACTGCAATACCCTGGTTCCAATTTCCCATTCCGCTCCCTGCTATCAATTACTAACCTGTGTGGCCGTTTGACAAGTCTGCCTTGCAGCCGAGAAAACCAGCTTTGCTTCTGGCACACTACCGAGTTTGGAGAGGGTGCTGGGTGTGTGCAAGCATTTATATACAGTACTCTGGGTTGCCGCCTGCTGTCCCTCTGCAACACTACAAGTCAACACTAGCAAATTATGCAGAAGCTGGGAAGCTGAGGTTCTCCACTCTATACTTGGCTCGGGGAAAAAATACCCTGAACTGTTTCGTTTTCTTCTCTGCCTTTTCTAAAAACCAATTTTTAATGGGTTCATAATTAACACAATGCCGCAGGGGTGTCCACAAATTGCATTCAACAAACGCACAGTCTGTATACTTAGGTACTACAAGTTCTTTCTATTGGATGTAAATCTTGTTAGAAAGCAAGCTGCACTTCCTGAAACAGGCACAGGGCATTCCTGAACTTGTTGCCAGCAAAAGAAAATGGCTTCAATGAGACGTATTAGAAGCATCACTGAAGCAATTCCCTTTTACTGGCAACGAGACCAGGAATGCCCTGTCTATTTCAGGAAGTGCAACTTGCTTTCTAACAAAAGAACTGTGGCAGAAAGGGGAATGTAGCTCATTTCATTTTTCTGGCGCAACTTCCCAATTTTTAAAAATCAAAGCACCAACATTTAAAACAAAAAATACCAATGCCTTTAAAGATCATAACTGCAGTTTGCAAATGCTTTATTTTCATTACAAACTTTATTGATTTATTTTTTTAAAAGTATCCAGCTTACCTGAGGCACCTAGGTCGTGCTGCAAAAATCTCAACAAGACATGCAGCTGGAATCTCATTTTTTGGCAAATACTTCTACTCACTGGACCTCTGCACAACATTTAACTAAACTTGAAAAAATCTGAAGAAATCAGGATACACTTGACGGATTGGCTGCAATATTTTCAGATAAATGATAGATTAAGCATGGATAGACTAGGAAAACAAAATAATATGACGCTGTGTGTAAAACAACAAAATAAGTAACAAGTTTAATCGGAAGTCAATTTTTTTTATCTTTCCTCAATCTTCTTCTCTTTTCTCATCTCTTCTTTTCTTTCTTCTTTCATTATATAAAATAGACATTGATACAATCTTGGATTGGTGCTGTATGTATTGTATTGTTGTGTACTGTTAGATATGGTGGATTGCTGTGTATGGTAGATTGTCATGTTAGTAATTGTTGTTTGTCAAATAAAGTATATTTTTTTAAAAAAAATAAAAAAATAAAACTTTTAATAAGTAAGTTCTGTTCCCCACTTGAATTAAAAAAACAAAAACATAAAATAAAATAATAATAATAATAGACAGCTATTTGCCTCTTTGTGTTTTTACAGATGTGAAATATTTCATTAATTTTTTTCATCAAAAGAATAGTTTATCTGCATTTTTTGCATTATTAATGTTATGCTACAATAAAACTGTTAATGCAGTTTCATTATTTCTACTTCAATGAATGACAGACGGGAGGAAAAGTATGTGTACTGCTTGCTTCTGTGTTTCCGCAAGCTTGAAAGCAACCAATCCTCTTCAAATTAAAGAAATGGGGGAAATGTTAACACTTCCATACACTTTTCACAACTCAGATTCCCCTTTCAGTTTCCGCAGACAGATTTCTTCATGAAGCTGATGCCTGAACCTCAACATGTCTTCTACATCTTTACAGCGAAGCATTTCCTCAACAGACAAGAGCTTAAAACCATTCAATTTAAAAGGCAGCAGGTTCATGCAGATACACAAAATTTAAAGGATTTCTTAAGTTATATGACAGTTTACCTAGCTGTTTTTTGTGTGATTGATGATGGGAGTCCTGTGAAAACATTAAGAAAAACACTGGGGCCTAATCTGAATAGTAGAGTGGTGGGTATCTGGTGGGCGGGGCTTGTGTGTTTTGCTCTGGAATCAGCCCCTCCCTTCAGTGGGTGTTCCGTTATGTTCAGTTAAGACGGCTGCACCGTCTCCATGGGGACGGGTGGTGCCAGGTGAGGGCCAGGAGCAAAGAGCACGAGCAGGAGCAGCGACAGGCCTTTCTCTCGGCGACCTGCCGTGCCCCATTGCTTAACACGGGGAGCATGAGGTCAAGGGCGCTTGGGAGCCCATGGAACCAGGGCACATGTCTTGGCACCACAGACCCGGATCGAAACCTTGATCACCAACGAGATAAGGTTTGAGGTGTCTGCCCAAAGGGAGCTATGAGTGATTGCGCTGGAGGAAAAAGTTTGTATCCCTCTATTGTGTGAGCATGAGGTGTCCCTCTCACCTGGGATGCAGGCACTGAGAAGATGCTCCAAACCAGCAACTATAGCTTGGTCCTTTCCTTGCAGTTCCTACTGCTGTTCTATGACCTCTTTGTCAACTCCTTCTCGGAGCTGCTGCGCATGGCGCCCGTCATCCAGCTTGTGCTTTTCATCATTCAAGATATTGCCATCCTCTTCAACGTCATCATCATCTTCCTCATGTTCTTCAATACCTTCATCTTCCAGGCTGGCCTGGTTAATCTTCTGTTCCAGAAATTTAAAGGGACCATTGTCCTGTCAGCAGCATACCTTGCCTTGAGCATATCCTTCCACATCTGGGTCATGAACCTTCGCTGGAAAAAATCCAACTATTTTGTGTGGACAGATGGGCTGCAGACTCTCTTTGTTTTCCAGAGAACGGTGGCTGTGCTATACTACTACTTCTATAAGAGGACGGCTCTGCACTTGGGAGATCCGCGTTTCTACCAGGACTCTCTTTGGCTACGGAAAGAGTTTGCACAAGCACACCATTGACAGCTGCTTCTGGATCATTTGGCTGAGGCCAGCTTGCTAGAATGTGCAATTTTACCAGTGTCTTGCAAGTTCCCCTCCTCCCGCTACAATTTGTCTCCTGCAGTCAAGTTCTAAATCTCATGTGGTCAAATGACTTCATCCCTTTCCTACATTCGTGCACATTGAGAAGCATATAGTGGCAAGCAGGGTATCCACAAAAGAGCAGTTTCATTGATGAGTAGCCTAGTCTCCAAGCTCTCCACAATCCTCCTCTCAGTTCAGCAAACTGCACTCTGGATGTGGCTGCAGCCTTACTGAGGAACGATTTGAAGCGCCAAACAGATCTGGCTGAGAACCCCCACTGAGTAGCAATGCTGCCTTTTCCTCCTTGAGGATATTTCCTTGCCCTAAGCTCCCCTGTGACAGAAAAGGATTCCTGCCTTCACTAGTACCTCTGACAGCGTGACAAGGCACAAAGACTAGGGTTTGGCTTTGCAGGATTCAGCCTGAGCAAATGTACTCTCATTGACTTGTTAGATTCTCCTTTTGTAATTGCATTTTCATTCATCTGTTCAGTTAAGAATGTCAGTTAAGAGGGAACAACTGCCTCTCCTTGCCTCAGGTTTGCCTCATGTTGTATTTAGCTTCTCTCAGCATGTTATTTTGTTACAGTTTTCTTCATTATTAAAGCTTAGTTTACATTTACGTGAGCCACTCAATTTTTCTCAAAGAAGAAGAATGCATCTCTGGGTTATTTATGGGGCCTGCCTGGTGTTTTTACATGAGTAGAATGTGTGCTTTTATTTAAAATGCATCTCTGGGTTATTTGTGGGGCACAGGAATTTGTTCATTATTTTTTTTCAAAATATAGTCCGGTTTGAGGGATAGTGGTCTGAGGAACAGTGGACTGGCCCCCTGCTGAAAAAGTTTGCTGACCCCTGGGAGAAAGGTTATGGTGAACTAACTATAGATGAATGTCCAATTATTATTATTATTATTTTTAAAAATGCTGTGTAGATGATATGATGCGTATAATGAAGGCGGGGTCATGATTATGCTGTCTAGATTCACTCTTCACACGCCCCAGAACCCCTGAGCAGAAGCCACAGGAAGATGAAATTCTGAGCATGCCATGTCAAACTTTCAAGTAATAAGATACTATTATATCTGTGAAACATCAGGAACAAATGTTTTTACTTCCTGTAAAACATTTTGGACCTGAACAAAGCCTCAGTTGATGCCTTCCCTCTTCAATATTCCAACTCTGCAATTCTATGATCTATGCTTTTTGGTACTACAAGTCAGTGACTCTACATGCAGAATCAGGTGATATTACAATGGCCTGACAACCGAGGCCTCCCCCCAGGCTGAGAAGGTGGCAAAGGCAGAAAAGAAGGCTGCCGGGAGCATGGAAAATGGTGGACAGTACATAGGTGAAGGGGGGAAGGGAGGCCGTGCGATCCGGCGCACACACACACCCAGCGGCACAACAACCGCCGCCAGGAACAAGGGAAATGGAGAAAGGGAGGCTGTGTTGAAGAACGGCGGGGGGGTGTCACAGCTCCTTGCAAGGAGCGCAATGGGGAGAAGGAGCCATGGAAAAGGACGTGCTGGGGCCCCAACATAATCGAAGCAGGAATCCATAGATCTTCCTTTCTCCCTGAAGCTCCAGAGCCGACTGCTTGCTTGCTGCTGGCTTCACCCCCTATTTATACGTTAAAGCAGACCAATGGGAAGCCCGCCCATTCTGGTCCTCTGGGCTGGCTCCGCCTCCAAGGAAGCCACTGACAGGTTTAACTGGGGTTTGTCGGGAAACCCGAACAACTAAGGCGACAGGGAGGCCACCCAGCTGGTGAGCCTGGTACGCAGGCTGAGACCCTACCTGCCCGCGGACTGTCTTGCCAGAGTGGTGCATGCTCTATCTCCCGCTTGGACTACTGCAATGCGCTCTACATGGGGCTACCTTTGAAGGTGACTCGGAAACTACAACTAATCCAGAATGCGGCAGCTAGACTGGTGACTGGGGGTGGCCGCCGAGACCATATAACACCGGTCTTGAAAGACCTCCATTGGCTCCCAGTACGTTTCCGAGCACAATTCAAAGTGCTGGTGTTGACCTTTAAAGGCCTAAACGGCCTCGGCCCAGTATACCTGACGGAGCGTCTCCACCCCCATCGTTCTGCCCGGACGCTGAGGTCCAGCGCCTTCTGGCGGTTCCCTCATTGCGAGAAGCAAAGCTACAGGGAACCAGGCAGAGGGCCTGTTAGTGTTTGTAAAAAGCAAAAAAAAAAAAAAAAGGAAAGGAAAAGGTTCTGACCTCCCTTTGTCTCCTCAGCCTGGTCCTCGGACCCTTGTCGGCACAAAAAGAGTCCACGAGAATATCCTTGCAGAGTTTTATTCTTAAAAGTCTTTGTGCAAAACACGACTGAACAACTATACACACCAGCACCAATCAACCAACCAACCCAAACACCAGCCTCAGCACAAACTAAAATTTCTCACTTTATATATACAACCTGCTGCAGGCCGCTGAGTCATGCTGACCAGCTTTATTCGCATTAAAGAAACAGCGGCCATTTTAGCAGTGACAGGGCCTTCTCGGTGGTGGCGCCGGCCCTGTGGAACGCCCTCCCATCAGATGTCAAAACGATGAACAACTACCTGACATTCAGAAGACATCTTAAGGCAGCCCTGTTCAGGGAAGTTTTTAATGTATGATATTTTAGTGTTTTTTGGTTTCTATGGAAGCCGCCCAGGGTGGCTGGGGAAACCCAGCCAGATTGGGGGGGGGGTAAAAATAAATAATAATAATAATTTATTGTTGTTGTTGTTGTTGTTGTTGTTGTTGTTGTTGTTATTATTATTGAAAAGGGATCCTGGTCCCCTGCGCGTTACCTTGCAACACCCCCGTACGCCCTATAAAAAAACCTTCGGGAGAAGGGGCCCCAGTTCGTTACCGTTTTGTTCAGGACTTAAGACTTGTCAACCAATTTGTAATACCTCGCCACCCAGTGGTGGGCAACCCAAACTCCCTCCTGAATGCAATCCCAGCTGGGACCACATGGTATAGCACTGCAGACCTATGCTCTGCATTCTTCAGTATTCCCTTAGACCCAGAGAGCCAGTTCCTTTTCGCCTTCACCTGGGGACCTAGTCAATTAACTTGGACCAGACTACCCCAGGGTTATGCGGAATCACCCACAATTTTTTCTGCAATATTACACCAGGACCTACAAGACATACATCTGCCTGCTGGCTCCACCTATTTGCTGTATGTAGATGACATTTTAATTGTTCTACCAGCGAGGAGGCAGGTAAATTAGACACAAAACACCTCCTCCTTGAGCTAGCACACAAGGGACACAAGGTGTCCCCTAAGAAGCTGCAATACTGCAAGCAGGAAGATAATACCTCGGGCATATCCTGGGGACAGGTACCCGAAGCCTAGTGACTGACAGAATAGAGGCAGTCACCAAAATCCCCCCCCCCAAAAAAGAAAGAGACAACTGCGAGGCTTCCTTGGTATGGTGGGCTTTTGTCGAGCTTGGATTGCCGGCTACAGCGAAATAACTAAACCCTTGTCTGCCATGACCCACCAAGATCATCTTGATGAATTGGTTTGGGGAGAAGAAGCCTATAACTCCTCTGAACACCTTAAGAGGGAATTAAGATCTGCCCCCGCCTTGGGCCTCCCGGACTATCTTTTTTTATATATATAAGATATTTATTAAGATTTTTTGGCCGAAATATGGGGAAATTCTAGAAAAAATTGGAGAAAATTGGAGGTTGCAGAGCTATGAAAAATTAAAAAATAAGGTGCAAAATTGGTTCCATTATGCCCAAATACAAGAGGTTTTTAAGTTGGATAAAAAAGTAGGCTTCCAGGTGGAAAAATCCAAATTAGAAACGGAATTGTTAGAACCAAAGACTAAAGTACTTTCGAGAATGTATCTTGCTGCTTAAATGGAACACTCAGGATGAGACAGTCAAATCAGCAATGATAAAATGGGCTCAGGACATTGGGTACAACATTATGTTTGAAGACTGGGAAAGGTTATGGACCACTGGTATGAAATTCACGGCATGTAATGCCTTGAAGGAGAATATTATGAAAATGATATACAGGTGGTACATGACCCCAGTCAAACTTGCTAAGATATATCATCTGTCTGATAATAAATGTTGGAAATGTAAGGAGGCTGAAGGGACATTCTTTCACCTTTGGTGGACCTGCCCAAAAGTGAAGGTCTTCTGGGAAATGATTCATAATGAGCTAAAAAAGGTGCTTAAATACACCTTTCCTAAGAAACCAGAGGCCTTTCTCCTGGGCATTGACGGCCAGAAGGTGTTAAAGAACGACAGAACCTTTTATATGTATGCAACAACAGCAGCAAGAATACTAATTGCAAAATATTGGAAGACACAAGATTTGCCCACACTGGAAGAGTGGCAGACGCAATTGATGGACTACATGGAATTGGCCGAAATGACTGGCAGATTCTGAGATTTGGGAGAAGAAACAATTGAAGAGGATTGGAAAAAATTTAAAGACTATCTACAAAAATATTTTAAGTTATATGAATGTTAAGAGTTTGCATGACTCAGAAAATTTAGCTTCAGCAACAAGATTCGGTGATATGGAAATTAAGTTTATAATTATGAAAGGACTAATGTTTAAAGTAACATCATTTTTATTTTAAGGTAATGTAATTAGATAATAAGTCTTAAACATAAAGTATACCTATTGGAAAGTACAAAGGAATGCATGAAACAAGGTAATAATTTGCTGATATCTTTATTGTAAAGAATGCAGGGTGAGGGAGATGTGGGGAAGTCCAGTTGGTTATGAGAAAAATATCTTGGAAAAATGGTTTCTTTTTTCTTCTGTTATCTTCTTTTTCCTTTTTTTTTCCTATAACTTGTATCTGGAAAAACCAATAAAAATATTGTTAAAAAAATAATAAAAAAAAAATAAAATGGTCAAGAACAGGAAAAAAAAGATTTTTTAGAGAGATACATAAGAACATATAAAAAATAAAACAATACAAAACATAAAGCAAAGAAGATAAAGAATACATAAAAAAAGAAAGAATAAACATTTTTCCCTTTAAAGTTCTGAATTTCTTAACCCTGTTTCTTGGCTTCCCCACACCTCCCTTCCTTGTGTTCCTGTTTACCATCAGATTCAGCAAATCCCTATCCTCTTTCAAATCTCGTTATCTATTAAAATATTTAAGTAAATCTTATTTCCAAACTTTCATCCCTATTGCATAATCATAACTTATTCACTAATGCCATATTATTTTATATCTCACATCATTTTAACATTCATGGATTTTACAATGTGTCTGCAAGTAGTCTTTAAATTTCTTCCAGTCCTTTTCCACCAAGTCTTCTCCCTGGTCTCAGATTCTGCCAGTCATTTCTGCCATCTCCATATAGTCAATTACCTGCATCTGCCATTCTTCTACGGTGGGTAGATCTTGCGTCTTCCAATGCTTTGCGATAAGTATTCTTGCTGCTGCTGTTACCTACATAAAAAAAGTTCTATCCTTTTTTAACACCGATTGGCCAACTATGCCCAGGAGAAAGGCCTCTGGTTTCTTCAAAAAAGTATATTTAAATACCTTCTTCATTTCATTATATATCATTTCCC